GTTTACAGCCCGGTGTTCACACATATGACATGATGGCACATCCTGCCCCTAACCCTACTGTGTTAGCAGTGTTCACATGTAAGACATGATGGCACACTCCTGCCCCCTAACCCTACTGTGTACAGCGTTCACATGGAAGACATGATGGCTATATCCTGCCCTAACCCTACTGTGTTACAGCATTCACATGTAAGACATGATGGTATATCCTGCCCCTAACCCTACTGTGTTACAGCATTCACATGTAAACATGATGGTATATCCTGCCCTAACCTACTTGTGTTACAGCGTTTCACATGTAAGACATGATGTTGATATCCTGCCCTAACCCTACTGTGTTACAGCATTCACATGTAAGACATGATGGTATATCCTGCCCCTAACCTACTGTGTTACAGCAGTCACACATATGACATGATGGTAATTCTGCCACCCTACGCCTACTGTGTTACAGCGTTCACATGTAAGACATGATGGTATATCCTGCCCCTAACCCTACTGTGTTACAGCAGTCACACATATGACATGATGGTACCTCCTGCCCCTACACCTACTGTGTTAAACAGCGTTCACATGTAAGACAATGATGGTTATCTGCCCCTAACCCTACTGTGTTACAGCGTTCACATGTAAGACATGATGGTATATCCTGCCCCTAACCCTACTGTGTTACAGCGTTCACATGTAAGACATGATGGTACATCCTGCCCCTAACTCTACTGTGTGTATCAAGCGTTCACACCTACGACATGATGGTATATGCCTGCCCCTAACCCTACTGTGTTTACAGCGTTCACATGTAAGACATGATGGTATATCCTGTCCCTAACCCTACTGTGTTACAGCGTTCACATGTAAAGACATGATGGTATTCCTGCCCCTAACCCTACTGTGTTTACAGTGTTCACATGTAAGACTGAGTGGTATATCCTGCCCCTAACCCTACTGTGTTACAGCGGTCACATGTAAGACATGATGGTACTATATCCTGCCCCTAACCCTACTGTGTTACAGCGTTCACACCTATGACATGATGGTATATCCTTCCCCTAACCCTACTGTGTTACAGCAGTCACATGTAAGACATGATGGTATATCCTGCCCTAACCCTACTGTGTTACAGCGTTTCACATGTAAAGACATGATGGTATTCCTGCCCCTAACCCTACTGTGTTACAGTGTTCACATGTAAGACATGATGGTACATCCTGCCCTACACCTACTGTGTTACAGCGTTCACATGTAAGACATGATGGTATATCCTGCCCTAAACTTACTGTGTAACAGCGTTCACATGTAAGACATGATGGTATATCCTGCCTCCCCCTAACCCTACTGTGTTACAGCGTTCACATGTAAGACATGATGGTATATCCTGCCCCTAATCCTACTGTGTTTACAGCATTCACAATGTAAGACATGATGGTATATCCTGCCCCTAACCCTACTGTGTTACAGTCGTTCACATGTAAGACATGATGGTATATCCTGCCCTAACCCTACTGTGTTTACAGCCGTTCACAGTAGACTGATGGTAATTCGCCCTACTACTGTGTTACAGCGTTCATACTATCGACAATGATGGTATATCTGCCCTAACCCTACTGTGTTACAGTGTTCACATGTAAGACTGATTGTATATCCTGCCCCTAACCCTACTGTTACAGCGTTCACATGTAAGACATGATGGTATATCCTGGCCCTAACCCTACTGTGTAACAGCGTTCACATGTAAGACATGATGGTATATCCTGCCCCTAACCTACTGTGTTACAGCGTTCACATTAAGACATGATGGTATATCGCTGCCCTAACCCTACTGTGTTACAGCTGCGTACATGTAGACATTGTTGTGTATATCCGGCCCTACCCTACTGTGTTACAGCGTTCACCATGTAAGACATGATGGTATATCCTGCCCCTAACGCTACTTGTGTACAGCGTTCACACCCGACATGATGTATATCCTGCCCTAACCCTACTGTGTTTACAGTGTTCACATGTAAGACATGATGGTATATCCTGCCCCTAACCCTACTGTGTAACAGGCGTTCACATGTAAGACATGATGGTATATCCTGCCCTAACCTCTATGTTAACAGCGTTCACATGTAAGACGATGAGTATATCTGCTGCCACTACTGTGTTACAGCGTCACATGTAAGGACATGATGGTATATCCTGCCCCTAACCCTACTGTGTTACAGCAGTCACATGTAAAGACATGTTGGTATATCCTGCCCCTAAACCCTACTCTGTAACGCGTTCACATGTAAGACATGATGGTATATCCTCCCTAACCCTACTGTTTACAGCGAGTCACACATATGACATGATGGTATATGCTGCCCCTAACCCTACTGTGTAACAGCGTTACATGTAAGACATGATGGTATATCCTGCCCCTAACCCTACTGTGTTACAGCGTTCACATGTAAGACATGATGGTATATCCTGCCCCTAAACTACTGTGTAACAGCGTTCACATGTAAGACATGATGGTATATCCTGCCCCTAACCCTACTGTGTTACAGTGTTCACATGTAAGACATGATGGTATATCCTGCCCCATACCCTACTGTGTTACAGCGTTTACACCTATGAACATGATGGTATATCCTGCCCTAACCCTACTGTGTTACAGCGTTCACATGTAAGACATGATGGTATATCCTGCCCTAACCTACTGTGTTACAGCAGTCACATATATGACATGATGGTATATGTGCCCCTAAACCTTACTGTGTTACAGCGTTCACATGTAAGACATGATGGCATATCCTGCCCCCTAACCCTACTGTCTTACAGCGTTCACATGTAAGACATGATGGTATATCCTGCCCCTAACCCTACTGTGTTACAGCGTTCACATGTAAGACATGATGGTATATCCTGCCCCTAACCCTACTGTGTTACAGCGTTCACATGTAAGACATGATGGTATATCCTGCCCCTAACCCTACTGTGTTACAGCGGTTCACATGTAAGACATGAGTGTATATCCTGCCCTAACCCTACTGTGTTTACAGCAGTTCACATGTAAGTAAGACATGATGGTATATCCTGCCCCCTAACCCTACTGTGTTACAGCGTTCACATGTAAGACATGATGGTATATCCTGCCCCTAACCCTACTGTGTTACAGCATTCACACATATGACATGATGGTATATCCTGCCCCTAACCCTACTGTGTTACAGCGTTCACACCTACGACATGATGGTATATCCTGCCCCTAACCCTACTGTGTTACAGCAGTCACACATATGACATGATGGTATATCCTGCCCCTAACCCTACTGTGTTACAGCGTTCACATGTAAGACATGATGGTATATCCTGCCCCCTAACCCTACTGTGTTACAGCGTTCACACCTATGACATGTTGGTATATCCTGCCCCTAACCATACTGTGTTACAGCGTTCACACCTATGGCATGAAGAGTATGCATAGTATGTAAACTTGTGATTTGGCACATGATGTGCCATGATGAATACATAGGTGGTATGGTGATACATCAGTAGCATGTTGCACTGACTTGAACTGATATGCATGCAGGTGGAATAGTATGTGAACCTATGATTTGGCATATAGACTGAGAATATTAATCACTTAATTAGATACTGGTCACACAAAAGTCATCTGGCATTGCCACGGAATTCCGTACCGGTATTGTTTAATTATCGGTTGCTTGGTTTAATTATTATGTTAATTAGCAGTGTTAATAGTAACTCGGCTCCATTTAAAATTGCAGCTGTTAAAAGCACTCTTCGGAACAAACCTGTCCAGTCAGTGGGAACCGAATCAGCAGGTGAGTGCTGGGGCGCGGCGGCCGGGCAAGGTGACGCGGCTGATGTCAACGGTCAAGCCCGGCCTCTACCATTGCTGCTTCACCGCTCCTGCTGCTCAATTCACTCAGGGAGTGCTGGCTTCGGGGCTACGATCGCCGATGCAGGGAGAGGAAAGTATATCCCCAGGGTGAGTACAAGTTATGGGCCACGCCACTCCTGCCCCATCCATACTGGCTGTAGCTGAAAGGGTTGCATTGTGCATTATTATTTACATTTATTATTTATTATATTATATATATATATATATATATATATATACAGTTGACCTTGCCTAAGTCGACATTGCACAAGTTGAAAAATCGAAGCTCCACAAAAGTCCTGATCTTTCCTTATATTTTTACTTTAATAAATCTTCGTCTAAGCCGAAATTCACAAATATCAAAGAAGAATTCTAGTCCCAATGGTTTCAAACTTGCATTAATTTCATCACACAAGTCGAAGTCGGAGGCTCTTTGTATTTACGAACATGTACAGTAATGAACGTGCCCGACGCGACTGAAACAATCAGAGCACTCCCCCCTCCACTCGTACTTCAATCAATGCCGCCCCAGCAGGCACGTGCGCAGCCACGATGTGCACAGCCACAGACATGGGTGTCGCGGGCTGCTGTGTAATTCTGACACAGTATGTACCTACTATCGACAGATAGGATAATGTTGCCCGATGGTAATCGTAACGGTGATTGTGATATGCAAGATGGTGGTGGTGGTGGTGGTGGAAGTGACGATAATCAATGATCATGAGTGATGACGACGGAGAATGATGGAGAATGACATGTATAAATGTATGGACAAGATAATGATTATTCTATTATTCCACGTAAGTGTTAACTCTCATGATTTGCATCATCAAAGCAAACACATGAACACACATTGCGATAAAGGCAACACTAGCGTGAAGTGTAATTGAAAACATCAATATCAACACAATACATGTCCACGTGACCACAAAGATACAATAGAAACATGCAGTTAGTGTAAGTCGAACAAAATTCGACTTCCACGGAAGTCGAAATCCAGTCACGTTGGATTCGACTTAAGCGAGGTCGACTGTATATATAATGTATTTTGTTATTTTAATTTAGTATTATTATTATAACTTTGTTGTTGTTATTGCAGTTTTTATGAGGGCTGTTGGTTGTAGGCATCAAGCATCTTTGTTAACTTGGCGACATAACACGGAGCCGCTTTACCTTTACCAGCATTAATTGCAAATAAACATTGACGTGCAGGTTTATTGGTTGGATGAGGCACAAGCTTGATAATAAAATGCCAACGATATTCAAGCCGGGAAACCGTGAGAAAGCTCCCATAGCATCCTACATTCGACTGTTTGAACCGCTAGTCATTAAGGCGTTGAAGCTTTACACGATTACAAGTTCGACTGACTTACAAGTACAGGTAATTGTTTCTCCTTAATGCTATACCTGTTGAGGGTTTACAAGCACTACACCGTATACCTTCTCTGTGCAAGAAGCATAAATAATGGCAAGTATAGGTTTGCTATAGCACAGAATTATCTTTCGTTGTCTATTGTCTGCTGGAGGTATGTAATAGCAAGCGTAGGTTCACTGTAGTATGGTAGTATTTGTCTGCGTGTGTCTTCTGCTCGAAGTAAGCAATAGTAGGAACAGGTTCACTATGAAGCAACAGTTTCTATCTGCATATATTGTCTGCTGTGAGGAATAGCTTGAAATTTTAGTTTGGTGTTTTTTTTATTTGTCATGTCCGTGAGAGACGTGTCTTTAGAGACACATTTACATTTTTTGCATGGTACCTTGCCACGTACAATAAAAATTAGATGAGAATTTTGCAAAATAAATTTAATGTTTTTTATTTATTTGTAACAATTTTGAAATAGATAAAGATTAATTTAGGTTTAAATTTACATGCATAATTTATGTAAATTTGGATTCTTTGTGAAGCAGTTTTCATATTGAAGCCTATGGAATAATTCACTTTATTTCCCCAAATTCATTATTTTATAGTTCGTTATGTTTTCTTGTAAACAAAACGACGACGTATATCAAGAAGCTGCCAGGTCAGTCAGTATATATATCGCCTGGCGTCGTGTTGCAGGTGTTAGATTTGCTCGCTCAGCTTGTGCAGCTACGCGTTAACTACTGCCTGCTCGACTCCGAACAGATCTTCATTGGATTCGTCATCAAGCAGTTTGAGTACATTGAGGAAGGGCAGATCATGTAAGGCACCAGCGCGGCCATCGCAGGCTAGTAAAGTGCAGTGTCTACTGCACGGAAATTCTAAAAAAACAAAATAAAAAAAAAAATAATTCACTACCGCAGCTGTGGTAATGTTTGAGTGCACAAAACCTTTCGGTTGTTGTGAGTGTAGTTCTCATCGGTAATCGCACCAAGATGTCTGTAATAAATGGGTAACGTTGGAATTAATTATTAGATGATATTGATATGTGTGTGTGACTAGCAGAGATGCTGAATGTATTTCTCACATCTGTTCTAGGAACAGTGACAAGCTGATTGCCCACATTTTTCACTTCCTGGTGCTGTTGTCGTATGAAAGATACCACTCCAAGACAATAATAGGCATGCCAAAAATCATTCAACTCTGTGATGGCCTAATGGCAAGTGGACAGGCACCAATAACTCATGGTAAGTCACCAACACATTTCCAGCAGAGTTGACGATGTGGCATTTCTCAAAGCGCTCTTAGTTGATAGTAAAGCAAAGAACCACTGCGAACGTAAAATCGTCTGTCACAGGCCACCATCAGTGTCATGGGTGGCATATGTCCCAAAGAAGCCCCCTTCACAGTCACAGTAAAGTGAAGAGCTATACATATCTTGTGGTTGAACAGCGATTCATTTTCTTTGCTGTAGCCATTCCAGCGCTGCAGCCGATCGTGGTTGATCTGTTCGCGGTGAGGGGAACTGTGAATAAAGCTGACATCGGCAAGGAGTTGGAGACGCAGAGGGAAGTTGTTGTGTCGATGCTCTTCAGATTGGTGCATTACCATCAGGTGAGCTTAACAACCCAGTAGTTTAGCTGTTAGTGTAAGTGTTGTAAGGTGAGTAGGGAGGTCCAACCAACACAGACAGGTGATAGATGTAAGGGAGAAATAACATTGTACATGTTCTTGGTGATATATATATATATATATATATATATACAGTGGCAGTGTGATCACACAGACGTCAACTGTCATAGTATACAGACAATGATTGACCATGTGACAACTACTATTAATGAGTGGCTTGTGTTTGCAGGTTCTGGATCTGTTTGTGTTAGTGCTGCAGCACTGTCACAAAGATGGCGAGGACAAGTGGAAGCGCCTATCCAGACAGATCGTCGATGTACTGCTGCCGGTGCTTACTAACTACGAGGTATGTGAAACACGTCACATGCGAAGTATCAACAAAATGCATCAACAGAAAGAGAATGCAGGGTCTCCAACTATTCCTCATTCTGAGGAATCATTAC